CAGGACAATGAGGGCTAGGGACACAGCTATAGTGGGTCAGGAGCTCGGGACCCCTGATAGGAAAAGCCCTGTTCCAACACCAATAGTGGGCCTACAGGAGGGTGGGCATGAGAAAGAGAAGACCAACAGTGGCCAAGGCACAGGGACCCTCTCTAGGTCTGAACGGCCTAACCCCAACACTCACTCACCCTTCTCTCCTACTTCTTTCCCGGTTCTCCTACTTCTTATGCAACCACCTAAGTCCTCACTCAGTGGCTCCCAGCCCTTGCTAGGAGTGCTCTGGGTGGCAGACTCAACACCCAGGGTGGCAGCACATGAGAGGCATGCTGCCACCCTGCTGCTTCCTGGACAGCAGCATTACCTCATACCTGCCGACTGCCAGCCTGGGAGTGGGGTAGTGAGCAGGGACTTCATGGACTCAGAATCCCAGACAGGCCCTGAACCTATGGGTAGGACGGAGGCAGGAACTCAGCTACTACAGCAAGCTGTGAACACTCAGACCTAGCTGGCATCAGGGGTTCTCTCAGCCCCACTGCCTTTCTGGTATTTGATTTTTGTTTTGAGATAGGAGCTTTACTATGTAGCCTAGGTTAGCCTCAAACTTCTATATAGCCTAGGCTCACCTCAAACTCAGCATCTCCCTGCCTCTAGGATTACAGGAGTGCCCCATCATGCCCAATTCTGGCTCTCATTCTATATCGGCAAATTTTTGAGGGTGAGGAGCACAGGTTGTGTGCAGGGTCCCATGGGGCCGAGGAAGCAAGATTGAACCAAGTGAGTCTGGTGAAGGGTCTTTTGGTCCTTAATGATCACTGCTCACCATCCCTACCCCAGCCTTTCAGCCTGAGGGTCCCAGTAGGCTGAGAGGCTCTCTTCCAGCTTGGCCTATGTGAGCCTTCCCACTGACCACATGTCTTCTAGGTTTCAGTAGCCCAGTAAGGGGGACACAGGATTATCATCCAACCACCAGAGAGGGCAACTGACTTGCTCAAGACCACACAGCAAGGAAGGAGCAGGATCTGAGCCCATGTCAATGTAGAAAAGCTGGGGCCTGAGGCTTTCCCCAGAAACCAGGGAAAGGGGCAGTGAGGAGGAGAGGGAGAAGTGGGAAGAGGGGTACCTGGAGAGAGGATAATCTTGGGAGAAGGGCATCTAGTTCAGGGGCCTGGGGAAAGGGAGTCCTGCAGAGAGGGGCAACCTGAGAGATGGGCCTGGTTGTAAAAGAAGAGCAAGAACCACTGTAAAGTTTAAGCTAGGGTCGGTAGGCCCCACCTGCTCACAAAGGACTGCCTAGCTGCCCAGTTGGCATTTCTGGGTAGTAGAAGGCCTCACCTGAGGCAGCAGGAGGCCAGAAACTGAGGTCTTTTGGAAAAGGAACTCACGAGGACACACCAGGATTTGTGGTCACAGCCACCTGGCCACACACAGATAAGAGCCAAGGCTGGGTCGGGCGAGCAACTTTGCTTAAAACACACTGGGGCTAGGGTGAGGAGACCCACAGCAGACGGCCAGGCCCACCTATAGGAGGTCAGGTCCTAGGGAACCCTTAGGCCAACAGAGGTGACTCTGATGCCTTTTATCCTCCAGTCTGGCTGTGGCCTCCCTGACCTGCCTTTCTTTGCAATAGCTTGGGGTCACAGGGAACTTGTGGACACTGGGGTCCCCAGAAACCTCAGGCCTAGTGCTCTGCTTTCTCTGTCAGGTTTCTGCCTAGGTGCCTCCTCCAGGAACTGTTCCCTGGCTCCTAGCAGCCAACAGCCACTCAATAGTTATTTATTGGACATCTACACATAGCAGAGGCTCGAAATAAAGCCCAGGACAGGTGACCCTAGCTGGCTGCTCCCTGCAGCCCTGCTTGCAACCCTGTGGCTTGGACAACTTATTTCCATGTCAGAGACATCTCTGGAGGAACAGAATTCTGAGCTCACAGGACTGGGCTGGATGCATGGTAGGTTTGGGTCCCTGGGCAGACTTTGACGACCTTTAAGACTGCGGTGGAGCCCAACCTGTAGTAGGGAAGAAGTAAAATGCCATTATGTAGGGGAAAGTGGCCATAACACAATGTGATCCCCCACCACCGAAAGAAAATGGAATTGATGAGCATTCAGCGAAGTCTAAGAAAGTACCTCCTTGCCAATACTAGTAGCTTTCTTTTTTTTCCTCTTTTCCTCCTTCATAGTTCCAAGGTCATTACAATGACCACGATACTGGGGAAGTAAGGAGGGAAAACCAATATATATTTGTACAGCCACTGTTGTTGCCCTCAGGAAGGCAACAGCCAGCAGGGTCTGGCTTCCCTGTGCCTGAGGCTCTTCTGCTGAAGCCAGGACTCCTTGGTGGAATGGGACCTTGTGTGTTGTGGCACTCAATATTCACCTGACCAGACTGCTATAAACCCCTCCCTGACTCTCCAGCTTCGAGCTGGGATCAGGGGGAGGCACTGTTCTGCAGGCAGGTAGTCTGGACCTGACTGAGGGACGTTCCTCTGTCCAGCAGGTCCCTGAGGATAGGCTGCACGGCTGGCCTCATCTGAGTGGGACATCTGAAGGGCTCCAGGGCTACACACAATTGCTGCCAGGCAACCCCCAACAGCCTGTGCTGCTGAAGGCGGAAGCAGGACCCTCCACTATCACCTGGTGCGAGCTTCCTGTCTGCCAGGGGAGTGAGTAATGTCCGTTCCCTGCCCCCATGCATCCCTTCTGGAGGCCAGGCCTCAAATTTTCCACTCAGGAACGGGCAGAATGAGGGGCCTCGTAGAGCCATGGCAGAGAAATGAAAGGAAGGTCCCATAGGTACAGTCTGGACCCCAGCACTGTGTGCCTGGCCTGGAGGAGACCCTCTGGCTCAGCTGTTTGATGTGCATGCACACTCACATCTCTACTCACTTGTTCACTTAACACTGCTCAGTGCTGGGCTCTGTGCTCTGGTCTTTGGGGTACTGATGATATGAGGGGGAGACACAGGCATTTAACAGAGAATCCTATACAAGGAGGAATCAGGATAGGCTTTTCAGCTCCGAGGCAATACCAGACCTCAAGGTCTGTGCAAAGTCTCAATAGCAGACTCCAGGCTGTGTTCATGCCTAGCCAAAAGCCTCTGGGGAACCTTTGGGCAGATACCATGGTCACCAGCAGGCTAAAAGGACATGCGGGAGCATCAGAGCCTAGGGCAGCTGTCTGGGTCTCTTTATGGCCAATGTGCATCCTGTACTGGGTGTAGGCGGCCTCAGGCTAGCACATCAACCTCCAGTCTCCAGATTCAGCTACTGATTCAATAATTAAATTGGTGGGATCATGGTCAACACCACCCTTCCTCTCCCTACTTCCCTCTCCCTACTTCTGCCATTTGCCCTCATAAATACCCTTGTCTATCAGCAGGCCAGCTACCTCAGTCCAGTGCCTACGGCCAGGATGGACTAAGATGTGCATCACTATACCCAGGATGTACTCACTGGTCTCCTGCAGATGGCTGCAGGACAGCTGACCCCAGCAGCCTCTGCTTCTTTCAGCTGCACTACATCACACCAAGTTTTAGCCAGCAGCAAGAGATGTGGAAGACATTACAATTCCTACAGAAGCCTCCATTTTGCTGCCTGTCCTGAGGAACCCAATTCATTGAGACTCCCAGGAAGTGTCTCAGACACTGACTACATTCCCAAAGATGTAGAGAAGAACAACAGTGCAAGACTTTGGGAGGACTGAATAGGAGGAATACAGTTTTATGACTTCAGGTTTTTAAGAAAATGTTCTAGATCTTCTTTAGAAAGGCATAACCAAGGGCATTTACTAAGCATTGCTGGCACAGATCTTAGTGTGTTTTTGGGTGTGGTTCTCAATCAGCTCTGATGAGGCAGGAGGTCAGCTGCTGGGCTGTCCCAGCCCCAGAGTCCCCAGTAGCATGTGGTTGCCCCACCCCGTGGGAACACCAGAAGATATAGTGGTCTGGAGGCGCGCAGCACGAGGGGGTCTTGCTGACCTCATGAGGCATCAAGGCATAAAAGCCTTTTCTTTTCGTGTAGCCATGCACCCCACTCCTCACACAGCCACCCCGACTCCCCAGCCCAGTTACCTCCAGCTGCCTGCATGCTGGACTCCTCCCAGACAAAGCTGGATTCAGGCTGGGAGGGAGGACCAGCATGTGAGTTCTGCCATGGAGACGAACTTTGACCCAAACTGTAAGGCTCCTACCCCTTATTTACTCTTTAAGGCTCACCCGTTTTGCAGAGTTAACATTACACCCCTTTTCAACCCTGTACCTCCCTCCCACATTCCAAGTCCTGACCTTTGACCTCTCCTAATTGCCAGCTCCTACACCCCAGTTCTCTGAGGCCCAGTTTCTGGCTCATCCCTTACCTCTCTAGTCACCTCCTTCCCAGAAAGAGGAGCCCCACCAGGAGCTCTAACTACAAGTGTCATCCCACATCCACTGGCTAAGTCAAGGTAATACAGAGTCTCCTAGGCCCTACATGGAAGCTGTGGAGTAGACCTCTGGCATCTAACTTCTCATTCTGACTTTCCAACCTCAAGAAAAAATCCGGAGGAGGCAGCCCAGCCCATCCTGATCAGCTACCAATTGCCTAGTCACTCACCAGGTAACCCTGTCCAAAAAGTCAGTCTCACTCAGGCCACAGAAATGAATACAGCTCTAGTTTTCACTGCTGGGAATGGGGCCACTCAGAGTGGGTCACACACATCCTTCACCTGCCAGACCCAAATCATTGTAACTCTGAGACCTTTACCCCACAAGTCCATGAACACAGAAGGAAGCCAATAGGCAGGCATGATACCCCCTCGGCCCAGTCTGGGCTGCTGTGTCTGTGAGAGCAACTTGCTGTTTCTGGAAGCAGGGGCTGGGACAGTAAGGCCTATGGAAATGCTAACAACACTGGCCTCTAAGTCCAAGGGGGGGGGGTGCCCCCAGGTTTCACCTGGGCCCCACCACCCAGAGCACATGTAGGCTGCTCAGAGGACAACAAAGGCCCTCTGCTGTCTGCCACTCACCATCCTCTTGGCTATGGAGGTTCTGTGGGCTCCGCATCCTCTCCTCCTGGCTGGGGCTCAGGCTGGAGGCCAGGTGGGGGTCAGCTGACATCCATGTGGAGTCATTCATATCAAAATCTTCACTGCTCACAGAAGTCTCATCCTGAGCAGAGACAAAGAAGGCAGGAATTCAACAGAGGCCAGCACACAAACTGGGCCTGGGGTCGCTCTTGGACAAACTAAGATGGGTCCTGTGCAGGGTGGAGGGGACAGGAACCCTCTAAAACCTTGCAGTGCGGGCTGAGTTGAGGGCTGGGTGGCATTCCCCTTTCCCCCTGGAAGCAGCTTGGGTTCTGGTTCCTGGCGGAAGCCAGAGCTGAAGGCCCATGCTGTCTGTAATTGAAGACAATTAAGAGGTCTCACATCCTGTGGGGCGGATAGCAGGCCCTGGCTCTTACCCTTGTGAGCCAAGGTTGAAATGAGCACTGTAAACAAGAGCTACCACTCCCCACCCAAAGCCCAGGGAAGAGAGCTCAAGTGCCAACACTGGGTAGCTGGACACACTGGGCACTGGGACATGCTGGGCACTAAGGAGGCCAAGGCAGCAGTCCCCACCAGGATGGCCGCCAACTCCCATGGAGCATGCATGGAATTCCTTTCTCCCACTCCCCCAGCCCAGAGGACATTTCTGTCTTCCTCTTTCCTAACCTTTGCTGTGCTTCAAAGATATGCTCTTGGGCAGCTTCCAGAGCTGGGCAAGCCAACCCCAGAAGAGTGGAGAAGGAAGGGGGTGGGGCAGACCAGCGGTCTGATCAGAGCAAGAGGGGTTTGGCTCAAGGGCGGGAGGGCAGGGGTGCCAAGGTCTCCATAACAGCTGGCCAGTCTGCTGGAGAGGACCATGTATGCAACTCTCCCCCGACCGTAGGTTTCGGTGTGCCCCTAGCCAGTTATCTGGGAACCCCGGGGGTGGGGCCCCTTTAATCCAGCCTTCTAGCAGGAAAGGACCCCATCTCCTTCTGATCCAGCCTTTTTCAGGAGCAGCAAGCAACTGTGTTGGGGCTCAGGTTGTAACACACAGGAAAGATAGCCCAGAAGTATCACATTGGGAGTTCTGACCTTATGCCCCCACCCCTACTGCGATACAATAGGGTCTGTGGGCCCATGGCAGAGCACCCTCTTAGCCTCCCCTACAGGGCCCCATCACAGACATCTCTTTTATGGTGAGCAAACACACTTTGGTTTGAACTTTCTTCGGCTGCTGTCCCTGGGGCAGACACATCTGCTCCAAGTACTAGGGAACTAACGAGCTGAGCCTCCCTCCTCTCCCTCCTTCCCTCCCCCAACCATGCCTGCTGGCAGGCAGTTTCCTGGAATTCACAGCTTCTGTGCAGCAGTGTGGACCCTCTGTGCTGAGTCCAGAGGACAGTTGTGCTGGGCCCCTTGGAACCCTAGGGACAGCGCCCACTGTGCTCTCCCCATACAGGCACTGGCCATGTACACGGGTTCCCTGGGCTGCCTGTTCCACATCTTCCCACAATCTGCCTTCCTAACAACATGCTAGCTCACATCTGCAGGGACATGCATGCTCAAAAGGCTCTTCCTGCACAAAGGGTACTACAGGGAGGGTCCCTTGGAGGCACAGAGCAAGTACACTGGGTAGTGGCTCTTTCCCAGCGGGCCCTATGAGTGGGCTCTGGGAGGCAGAAACAGGGCTTCCTCATTGAGTTCTTTGACCAAACAAAAGAAGCAGAAAAACAATCTTGGGTGCTGCTGAAACACATGAATTAAATGACCTGGTTTCCTGTTTGTTTTTTTGTCTTTTGAGACAGGATCTCCCTATGTAGCTCAGGCTGGCCTCAAACTTAGGATACTCCTGCCTCAGCCTCCTAAGCACTACAATCACCTTCTCAGCCTTCATTCATTCATTCATTTTGCAAGGATTCTCTGAATACCAGGTATGGGCCCAGTGTCTTCTACGTGCTGAACTCCAGCTGTAAAGCAGACCCTGTCCTGGCCTTCCTGGCACTCCCTATCCACAGAGGAGATGGACAATAAGCAGAAAGCAGCTTGGTGCTGATGGTAACAGTGCCTGTGGGGTAAAATTAAGCCAAGGAAGAGGGAAGAATGACTTGCAAGGGCTGTTTGCCAGGGCATTCAAGGAAGATCCCACTGGTCAAGGGAACACTGAGCAAAGGCTGTGGAGAAGGGGATTGTGTGGCTCCACATAGGCATCGCCACACACATAGACACAAGCACATCCTGCTAGGCACATGCTGTTGTCTTGTTGTGGCTGGGTAGGTGAGCCTGTGGGGCAGCAGAGCCACATGGGTGTCCATGGTCTCTCTTAAGGTGCATGGAAACCTGAGCAGGGTTGGGCCTGCCCTCTTGAGCTCAGTCAGACAAAAGCTGAAGGAGCATTTCACTACAGAGGGGCTGGCCAGAGAGCAGGCACAAGTCAGGGTGGCAAGAGCCTTATGGAAGGCTCCCACACACCTCCACTCAGCCAAATCCAAACCAGTAATAAGCTGAAAGCAAAGCGGCCCAGAAACCAAGGGCTTCTCTTGCTTAGCCCACAGCTCTCAGCCCAACCAACAGATGAAAACACAGAGACCCACACACCAAGGGGTAGAACTAGGTCTGTGTCATTGCAAACTCTACCCATCAGTCCCTCCCCTAGAATGTCCCTGCTGTTGCTGTGGCCCATAATCCTATGATAAGACAGGCATTCCATCAACTCCTGTCCATTTCCCACAATTCCTCCTCTTTTTTAAAAAAATGTATTTTTATTTATTATTTTCATTTTATGTGTATGAGTCTATTGCCTGCATGCATGTGACTGTGCCCGTGTCGTGCCGTGCCGCGGAGGTCAGAGGAGGGCTTTGGATTCCCCTGGAACTGGAATTAAGGACGGTTAGTAGCTGCCATGTGGGTGCTGGGAATGGAACCCGGGTCCTCTGCAAGAACAGTCAGTGCTCTTAACTGCTGGACCATCTGTCCAGCCCCCAATTCCTCCTCTTAAGCAACCTTAAACAACCTGCCTGTCTGTACCATTAGCCCAGCATAAAGCTACTGTGTGTCTTTATCCTATCTGATCCCAGAAAGCTCTGGGTCCTTCCAAGAGTGAGGACCAGGCTGGCCTGTTCTCTGAATTCCCCAGAGGCCAGCAAGACTTGTTGAACTGACTAAACTGCCTGGCAGGATGTTGGTGTTTAATGAGGATGCTGCATTAATTTGACAATTAAGGGCTCTGGTCCCACTGCGCAGTTCTTGAACAGGGGCCATATGAAAACCGGGACCCTAGCTGATGGGCCAGTGGCTACATATTTCCCCTGGCTACAGCTGCTAGCCGACACACACACAGAGCCTATTTAGGGTTGCTCTGACTTAGAAAGCCAAACTGTTCGGGAAAATGGACTCTACCCCCACCCTGCCCAACAGATGGGCTGTATTTCATATTGACATTGACATCACCTGGTAAGGAAAAGCATCCAATGCCTACATGTACAGGGCTCTGGGGCTCCTGGGCAAGTGTTCCATGAGATTTTCTCATAATGGCCCCATAAGGCAGGTGACCAGGGCAGGCCTCTTTCTAGGTCTGGTCACATTACCTTTCAAAGGCTTGCTCCAACTGCCCAGGGCAACAGAGCCAGGGGCAGAGCTGAGGTCTGAATCCAGACAGTCTGTACCCATAACCACTATACTACACTTCTGCCCTACATCAAAAGTACCTGACAAAGTGCATCAAGATGATACCCAAAGGGAACCATGGGCAGTGAGGACATATCTATACTTAAAGGCAGTCCCCTACACCCCTCACTCTCCTCAGAGTTGATGCACATCACTGAGCCATCTACTTTTTGCTGGGGTTGCTATAGGGATTTAAATGACTAAATGCTGGGGGTCCTTCCTTCAGACTTTGTCCAGGGATACAAACCAGCTTTTAAAACTTCTACCTGCTTACAGGTATGGGAAGGGGCTGTGGGACCCCTGAACAGTTCCTGAACACCAGTGGCTCCCCTCAGGGACTTTTCCATAGCCCCCAGGGTTCTGTCACCCGAACCCTAACTTGTTGAGAACTGGTTCTAAGAGTTTTGCCATCCACACTGCTGCAGCAATTTTTTAAAGTGATAAATCAAGTCTATTAAACCTAACTTTTCAGAACACTAACAAATCAAATAAGCTGTGGCTGTGGCCAGACTGAGACAAAACTACCTTCAACAATCACACTTGTGGAGCTGACCTGCAGAGAAGCCTTCTACAGAGCCCTCTGCAAACCCTGCTATGGCAGAGGTTTGCTGTCCAGGGGGCAAGGCCAGCGGCTATGGAGGGGCAGACTTGAACTCCACTCACCCATTTGCCCCTGAACAGAGGCTGGCAAGGCAGGCTAATTACACAAGCAATTACCAGAGCACACAGTTCAACCGGATCACCCAAGTCCAGAGGGACCTAAGGGGTGGGAGGCAGTGAGTGCAGGTCTGGGAGTGGTGAGGTCTCAGGCCTGTGCAGAGGCCCAAGACTGTCCCCTGGTCCCCTGCTCCCCCAAGAGGTCAAAAGTAGGTCACTTCTTGTTCCCTTCTCAGATCTGGAGGGAATTTGGAGTACTCATTTCTCTATCTCTGTTAAGTAAGTTCAGTGGGACGTTCATTAGAAAATAAAACAGTGTTGCAGTCTATGGCTCTGGAAACCTTCACCTGAGAGGGTTTCTATATACCTGGCCAGGCTGCTGTACCTAGGTCCCTCTAGCCTTTGTCCCTTACATCCTAAAGCCTATGGCCTTGCCCACTGAGTAATAAAAGTTCATCAGACTAGGCACCACAGGACCTATGCTGTCATAGGTCACAGGGCAGTAGGGCCAACTACCCTTCGGAAAAAGGAACTCTTGGGTTGGCTGGGCAGGCAGATAGCACCCAGTCAGCCTCTAGGACACACCCTAAGCTAGGAGCCCTCACTCTGCGCAGAGAAAGAGGAGCTGACCAAACCTGCAAGCCTCTTATCTTCGGTCCAAAATTCAGGGGCAGGTTTGGTTTCTCCCCACCCAGCTCTGAGGCCCTTCCTCCTCTGCAGGCAAATGGCACCAACCACTGCACAGCCTGGAGGAGGGGAATGCAGGAGACAAGGAGGGAAGGTGGAAGCAAGCCTGTATCCATGGCTGTAACTGTGGGC